TCAGTTCGAGGTTAATGAAGTAAATGTAGTTTTGTCCATGTTATTGCTCTGGCAGTGACGCAAAATGTGAAAGAATGACTCGTATCGCATATTTAACAAATTTATCATAACTTAAAAACTGAATAAATGTTAGAACTTCAGGCTAGTTACTTGCAGATTCCTTGGCAGATTCCTTCGCGGACTCCTTCACGGACTCCTTCGCAGACTCTTTCACAGACTCCTTTCCAGAATCCTTTGCAGAATCCTTCACAGACTTCGCAGACTCCTTCACGGACTCCTTCGCAGACTCTTTCGCAGACTCCTTTCCAGAATCCTTTGCAGAATCCTTCACAGACTCTTTTGCAGACCCCTTCCCAGAATCCTTTGCAGAATCCTTCGCAGAATCCTTCACAGAATCCCTCGGAGAGATGACCGGCGTTACTTCGGTGCCTGTTCTTGTGGTAGCCGAATCAGCTTTGGATGTATGTTTGGAAGTTCTTCTTGATGATTTCTCAGAAACCTCGGAAGTTCCCTGATTCTCATCGGTGGATTCATCCACTTCACTCTTTCCATGTGGCGGTTGTGGCATTTGGGTCATGGAAACGAGTAGCGTGGAGGGATCCTGTGTCGAAGCTCTCAGATCAGGTTCGACTGCTTTTTTTATCGTTTCCATTTCATGAGTTTTAATCGACTCAGTTGCTGTTCTCGATTCAGTGTCTTTTGTAGTTACAGATTCTGCAGACGCCATTTGTGTTTTATCGATGGCAGCCGCTGACATTGGTGATACTCCTGACATTTGCGTTCGATCCGTCCCTCCCTCCTCTTTCACATCTTTTGTACCTTTAATTTGTGGTTCCTGAAATATAGAAAAAATTTTCGCACAGCTATATGCTAGTATTTCAAAGCAGCGGCACCGTTTTTTTAAAGGTGCATAAAGTGCATTTTATGGGCAGTACCAGTTGCTACTTGTCTAACAAGCAAGTTGTAGTCAAGAAAAAGTCACTCAGTAACAGCAGGTTAATTGTCAGTTTGTCAGTAAATGCGTCTGAATTTATGCTTTAGCTGGAAAGAATTTGTGCTTTAGCTGTATTATCCATTACACAGCTTTAATTACCACAAAAGGCCTCAATCACTGGCAAAAATTAGAAAATACGTGTTGCTTGAGGTCACAGCACTGGAAATTACAGAATATCATTGCTACGCGTATCGGTGGCATTTATAGACACAGGTGT